GCCCGGGGAGAGCGACCCCAGGCACCCGAGAGCCCCGATGCCGGCCCACTTGCTGCAGGAGGAGGTGAGTTGCCCGGCGTTGGCTCCTTGGCTCCCAGAGCGCGGGGTCGCCGGAGCTGGCCGGGCTCCTAGGTGACTCGCGTGGATGGAGGAGTTGAGATCCCCGCGGGGACAGAGCCATCTTTTGCGAGTTGAACTGCCTTCATTTGTTGGGCATCTGCATTGTAATTTGGGGACTTGGTTTCCGAACTTTTGTTTCTTAAGCTGAAAAGAAAACCCGGGTCGTGCCGGCACCCTTCCGTCTGTCTGTGTGCCTGCGGGAGTTCCTTTGTGTGTCCGACTGGGTGAAAGTGTCTCACTCCTTCCTCTTGCCCCTTCACCTGGAGGCTTCACCCCCTCCCCGGGCTCTCTGCATAGTTCCCGGGGACTTCCTTTTCTTCCCTCTGGGGGGGACTCCGCCTTCCGCTACCCCGGGTGTTGGGGCAGGGTCTGTGCGGATCCTCACTCTCCCTCCCGCTGGGTTGGAGAGTGACGTGGCCCCTGCTACCTCCACGTGCCGTCTCGGCTCTCCTGACCCTCCGCTGCCTCTCCCTTCCAGATGTCTAGCTCCTACACCACCACCACCACCACCACCATCACAGAGCCTCCCGCCAGGATCGCGCAGAATGGAGAAGGCAACTCGGAGAAGCATCTCCTGCACGCGGAGGAAGACATCCGCCCTGAAATGAAAGACGACATCTACGACCCAAGTTACAAGGATAAGGAGGGCCCGAGGCCCAAGCTGGAGTATGTGTGGCGGAACATCATCCTTATGTCTCTGCTACACTTGGGCGCCCTGTATGGGATCGTACTGATCCCCACCTGCAAGGTCTACACCTGGCTCTGGGGTAAGAGTGTTTCTTGACCTCCTGACCCGGGACGCCAGGTTCTCTCCTCCCTTTAATAAGATGGGAGCTTACCTGGATCGGAAGGACCGGCCCCTACAGTTTCCCAGAGGCTGAGTGGACTGGGAGCAGAGGCTAGGGACTGGGAGGCGGGAGTGGCCATGCTGGGGGGGCGGGGGGCGGTCTTTTCACATGGGTGCTGGGGAGGGAGCCCTGAGACCACGTGTTGCAGGCTTTGAAGTGGGTGCACCTGTGCCAGAGCGGCAGCTTCCCCTGAAAGAGCTTTTCTGTTTCAAGCCATTTGCTGGGCTGCTTGTCCCAGCCCCGCCATCCACACAAGAATCAAGGCCCCTCGCTGGGAGCATGGGATGAGACCAGTGGTTTCAGGGGTATATGCTGATCACAGTCGTGGGACAGCGAGAGAAACTGCTCAGGAAGAGAGTAGGAGAGGGAGGAACCGAGAGGTGGTTACCCGCAAAAGTGTTTGCCCTGACCCTTGGCCCACCAGCCTCCTTTGTTAGAGAGAAAGATGAAGCTCCTGTAGGAACCAAGTTAAACAGGTGTGGTGCTCTGCGACTCCCCGCAGGTCTCCCAGGCACTGTATGCATCACTCAGGGAAAAAGTCCTTTGATTGAAATAAGGTGGGAGCAACGTTTCACGTCCCACTCCCCATCTAGCTGCTCAGCCCCTGACCCCTGATGCCAGGAGGTCGCTCCTTGCCTGGACGGCCAGGCCAGGCCAGAAAAGAGCCCCAAGCAGCCCCGGCCTTGAGGCTGCTGCAGTGAGGGAGGCAGGTCCCAATTCCGTCCCTGACCTGCCCTTAGCTCAGCTTTTTCAGGGACCCATGGGTATGAGCTGATAGCAGGGCCCTGCCCCCTGGCAACACACATGCGCTTTGCAGGCGTTTTCACCTCTGCCACCATAAGCCTGAGTTGGGGGGCGGGGGGAGATTAGGGAACTCTAAGGACCCAGGGGCCCCACACGGCCACTCTCCCAGGGTGGTTAGGGTTCCCAGAGGAGTCTCGGGCGAGGGGTGCTTGCTGAGAGCTGCACTCCGGCGGATAGTTATGTAGAAGGGCTAGTGGGCCAGGTGTTAGCTGATCTCCTAGGACCTCCTACGTCTAAAGGTGGTGGGATCTGGTCCCTAGAGCTTCGTGTTGGGAAATCCTCTCAGTGCCTCAGACAGTGAAACCCAACTGGGTAGACCCCTTCTCTCAGGATCTCCATCTTTCCAGGTACAAACTGGGACAACAGTACTTTTTTAGGATCAGGAAGGTAGTGCTCCTTAGGTTACAGGTGTCTCATTGCTGAGGCTGCGCAGGCGCAGGATCAGCTCTTCTGCAGACCAGGAAGGCTCTTCTCTTTGTGGGGGGAGGGGCACGTCTGTTCTCTAGCCCCTCTGAGATCCCAGCCAAACTTCAGTTCTCTACCTTCCTACCCAAAAAGGGAGTCCCTTCCAGCCCCAGCACTCCCTGTAGGCCTGGTTAAGGCCAGAGTTTGACCAGACTGCTTCTGCTTGCTCCCCACCCTTGGCTGCTGGAGCAGGGGGCAGAGTGCGATCCCCAATCCAAGGCTGTGCCCACTACCTTCATGTGCCCTGTCCATGTGCCTTTGGGCAGAGAAATGTGGCACACAGAGACTGGACGGTGACCTTTTGTACTCCTTTCCCTGGGCCTTGTGGCGGATGGCTTAGCTGACTGATAACCATCCTGGTATGGGGATAACAGAACTCCTGTTTTAAGAAACAAGAAAGAGAGAGGGACCATCAGGGGCCCCACTTTTAGAGTTTAGGAGCTCGGCCTCAGCCTTTTCTTTTATCCCCAAGGACAGTGTTAAAGTAGCAACTGGTTGTGATTACAGCATTTCTTGTGACTGAGCAATTTAGAGAGTCTCCCAGAAGGGCCCTCGGGGGCAGCCTGAAGGCATATCTCTGGCAACACTGAGAGCCGAGGGGCAAAATTTCCCTTCTCTGAGGGCCAAAGCTGTGAGATTTTGCTTAACCATCAATTTGGACACTAGTAGAGAATGAGCCTCCTTCTAGCTGACAGGCTTAGAGCTGCTGATAGAAAAGGCACTAGACTAGAGTGCTTGGATTCTTTTCCCAATTCCCCTGTTAACGCTAGGATCTTAAGTGCTTTCTGAGTTAACTCACAGGGTCATCTGTGGCATGAAACAACCCTAGTAGCTTTCTTCATTCTGAGCCAAGTGCTTCTGTTTTCTTGCCCAAAGCCATTTCTCTTCTTCCTTGTTGATTCGTGTGGTTGTGGCTCAACTGTCATTCTTCCAGCTGCCGATGCAGGTAGATTTTGCAACTGGGAGGATATAGTCACATGGCTTAAGGCCAGCAAATCATGTAGCAAAGGGATTAGAGACAGAACTTTCATTGGGATGGACTCTGGCTCCACACTCTCCCTTGGGATCCTGTAGGAGGAATAGGATAGGGTGGAGGAAGATAGGGTAGGGGAGGGGGGGGCTGTTTAGGAAACTGCTATCTGTGGCTGGAGAAGAACACAGGACAATTTGTTACAATGTGTGGTGTCTCCAACTGCAACTAAATTCTGTGGCCACTGAGGACCCATTGTTTTGAGCTGTATCCCTAGGAATGAAACACTGTCAACAGTCAACTGCTCTACCAAGGCCTCACTCAGCCCCTGCCTCCTAGAGCTACTGAACAGAGGAAGATGGGTAGACCCAGCAACCCACTGCCCAGTTAGAGATTATAGCTGGCACCTCCTGAGCTGGCAGGCCTCCAGGAAGGTGAGGGAGAACTATGCACATATCCTGGGGAGCTGGCTGGTATACGTAGTTGGAACATGAATGCTTGTTGACAGAACTTTTAGTTTCAAACTATGGCTCCATTGCTTACTGGCCTTGTGACCATAGTTAAACACAACCTCTCTGAGCGTCTTTTTCTTCAACTGCAAAGTGAGGCTATTAAGGGCCATTCAAAGGATCCAGAAAATCAGAGAATATAAAATTCTTAGCTAAGCTATGCAGATATGACTTATGTGTAGGGCAGCTATATCCCCTGATGTGGTCATACTGCCTGCTAATGCTTTTGTACCAGTTGGTCAATAGCCATAGTTCTGAGCCCCTGAGTGTCCTCTAGAACCCAGAGCCCCTTGGATGGATGAGTGCCCAGACTATACTGACTGTTAAACTGTTTAAGACAGCCCCTGCTTATGGGTCCTAAGCTCTGTAGGAGTGGTCTGTGGTCCTTAAAAACCGGGGGAAGCTTAGCTGAAGTTCAAAGGCAATGGGACTTGAGAAAACAGTCCTCATGACTGAGAGTGACCAGTGGCTGGGTAGCAAGCTCTCTCTTCTCTGTCCTGCCTTCCTAAAGTTCCTGAAACAGCCCGGCCGGCGTGGCTCAGTGGTTGAGTGCCAATCTATGAACCAGGAGGTCACGGTTCGATTCCTGGATGGGGCACATGCCCGGGTTGTGGGCTTGATCCCCAGTGTGTGGCACACAGGAGGCAACCGATCAGTGATTCTCTCTCATCATAGATGTTTCTATCTCTCCCTCTCCATTCCTCTCTGAAATCAATAAAGTTCCTGAAACTTCTTAGCTTATTCCAATGCCTAGGTGGAGAGGGTGAGGGGTGATTGGGTTTTTTTTTCAAGTAATAAAATGGGAGAGACCTAAGAGGCCAAAGTGTGTCTGCACTTCAGGGAAAAGCAGATCCTCACCCAATGCCTCTGAAGACACAGCCAACATACAGAGATCCACGTGTGAATGTTTTTCCAGATTATTGACCTCTCCCTGTGTCCGCCTGGCAGGGTTCTTCTACTACATCATCAGTGCCCTGGGAATAACAGCAGGAGCCCACCGCCTGTGGAGTCACCGGAGCTACAAAGCTCGGCTGCCCCTGCGGGTCTTCTTGATCATCGCCAACACAATGGCATTCCAGGTAGGAGCCAGCTCTGCTCAGCCCTTCCCTCCGCTCCGTCAGTGACCGGGGGCGGATGGAGATCAGCACCTGCAGAGGAGCAACACCTGGACAACCACTTCACTTTCCTCTCCCCGGGTGGTCACCTCAGGTGCAGGCCCAGTCCTTAAGTCCATAAAGCATGAGCACAGTTCTGAGTCTAGAAAAGAGGAATAGGAGATAACTAGGAAATACTTATTCCTGTCTATTACTCAGGTTCCTCTGTTACCACACAGTCTGGCTGTTGGGGTCCTTCATCCTCAGGGTCTACAAGGCAGGAGCCTTAGTTTAGGCGGCTGATTTCCTGGGTAGGCACTGGACAATAGACTCACCATTTTAGGTGAATAGCTTAGGGCTCCACCATGGGGGGACTGAAGTGGATGTTTCACAGGCTCAGGAATTCTGTTGTTTTCCGGCAATGACAGCAAATACTTATAGCGCTGAGTATGTGCCTGGTACTATTCTGAGCACTTGGCATAGATTCCCTCATTAAATTCTCTTCGGAGGTGGGTACTATTCTTATTCCCATTTTCTAGATAAGAAACTTATGTCACGGAGAGGTTAGGGAGACCAACCATGTGGTCCTGCCTTGGGCTGCCAGGCTGGCTAAGTCAAGTATGGAGGTTTGTTGAGTCAGAAAGTTTATAGCAGAGATAGAATGAGGGAAACTGGGGAAAGGGAACACACAGCTATTAAGTGGTGGCAATGGGCAACCGATCGGTTGTGATGTGGGGCTTAGCTTGGAGCAGAGGGAAAAAAAGAAGCCACCAAACTTGTTCCCTTCTTCGTGGCAATATTCCAGGTATTTACCGTAGTTACATAATCATCTGTGCCATGTTACTTTATACCTTGAGGGCTCCTGATATTGGGACGAAGGTAAGAAAGAGATATTGACACATTCTGTAAGGGATGGAAAGAGTCCCAGAGGTCATTTGGGAATGTGGCCACGCTCGCGATTTATGTGCCTGGTCTTGCTGAGTTGTGAGCGGTCTCTTGCCAAGGCTTCAGAATGAAGCTCCCTGCAGCTTTATCCACTGACCAGGGCCCGAGGATGCAAGGCTGTCTGCCTCGTTCTCCCTGCCCAGGGATTAGGCACCCCAGGAAGGCCTTTCCCAGCATTTCTTGCTGGAGGAATTGCAATGTTCCCTCCTGATGAAATTGTTTGATCTATCTCCATTCCGCCCACTGTATAATCTTTATGAAGCAGCCAGCCCTATTCATGTGGTCCTGGGACTTTAAGTTGCTTTTCCAATTAAGCTTCAGTGGCAAGTTGGGGGAAAAGAGGAGGCTACTCTGTGACCCTCCTTTGGATCCCCGGCTCCTGGGTATTTTGTGAGGTTGGGCTGAGAGCTATGGGCTCTTGAAGAGGTCCATCCACTGGGATTCCCCTAAGAGGGTGTCTCTCCTCAGGCCTACAATCTTCTTCTCTGTCCCTCCAGAATGATGCTTATGAATGGGCCCGAGATCACCGTGTTCACCACAAGTTTTCAGAAACAGATGCTGACCCCCACAATGCCCGGCGTGGCTTTTTCTTCTCCCATGTGGGTTGGCTGCTTGTGCGCAAACACCCGGCTGTCAAAGAGAAGGGTGGTTTGCTAGACTTGTCTGACCTAAAAGCCGAGAAGCTGCTGATGTTCCAGAGGAGGTGAGTGGAGTGGGGATGGAGCTGGGCACACTTGGTGTTTGGGGGGACCCCCCCCCCTTTTCTCCTAGGACTTACAAACATAAGCTGAGAAATTTACTGGGTTTGTATATTTTAAAATCATAATTTAAAACCCTAATTTTTAATAGTCCCCAAGTCTACAGCCATAGAATATTATTCTTTCTGAACTTCTTAATTAAACCAATAAAATTCAACAAATGTTTACTGACCTAGGAAGTCATGGATACAAAGATGACTGTGTCATAGTCCTTACCTTCAAGGAGTTTGTAGCCTACTGGCGAGTAAAAAGATAAGCCAAGTGTCCGATAAGTATGATACATGGCAAAATATTTTCTGTACCAGGAAGAGACACAAAGGAGAGGGAGACTGCATATTGGGGAGCATCAGGGAACGGTTTGTGAAGAAAGTAGCTTTGGAATCCACTGATGGGTAGAGATTTTGACAGGTGCCAGGGGAGAGGGACAAACAGTACAAACAGAACAGAATGATATAAATCTGAAGTATGTTATAGCAACAGAGTCCTTTTGCTTGAAGTATAGGGTGTGGTAGGATTAAGACTAGAGAGGGAGACTGGTGCCATTACAAGCAGACTTCGGATTTAATTTGATAGACAATGGGAGACCATTACAAGTTTTTTTATTGGGAATCTGTGATGGTTGGAGGTGTGCTTCAGAAAGATCACTTTCATGACAGGTGAAGAAACCATTGAGCCAAAGAGGTAAGAAGCAGGGCCACAAGTTAGGAGGCAGTGAGGATCCTTGCTAGGGAAGCAGTGGCAAGAATGGAAAGGAGTTGGTGCAGGAATACCAATGATATAAGAGCATAAGGCTTGACTGCAGAAGAGACGCAGGAAATCAAGTCAATGGTCAGTTCTCCTTACCTTCAAGGAGAGATTGAATAATGGGACAGGACCTTCAGAGGCCTGGAGACCTGGAGGCATCAAAGATCCTGAGGGAAAAGAAGAGGATGGTTAGAGGATGGCTGGCAGGAAATGGAGGCAAGACACTAAACATGGACTCTGGCTGGAAAGAGAAAGAACATTGGCTGGAAAGAGAAAGGAGCCCAAAGACAGAATGGAAAAACAGCCTGAGCAGGAGAGCTCAGTGTATTCATTTGTAATCTGGACCTTGCCTATTTTACCCACATGAAATTATGCTATAGTAAAAAAACACACAAAAAAACAATGACTTTCGAATCAGGAGATCAGCATTCCAATCCTTGCTCCACTGGTTCCTTGTGGTGCAATCCTAGAAAAGTCATTTAACCCCTCATTACCTCATCTAAAAAGTGAGATAATGACACTACATTCTCACACGATTTCCCACCCCATTCCCCTTGCTCTGTTTCCTGCCATGCTGTCCTCACTCTGTAGAAGGAAAGAGACAGCCCAACCCAGTGATGATGGAAATCGGGTAGGTCTAAGTCCTCTCTGCTGACTCGGTGTATGGTCTCTCAATGCAGGCATTACAAGCCCGCTGTCCTGCTGATGTGCTTCATCCTGCCCACACTTGTGCCCTGGTATTTCTGGGGTGAAACTTTCCAGCACAGCTTGTACGTTGCCACTTTCTTGCGGTACGCCATCGTGCTCAATGCCACCTGGCTGGTGAACAGTGCTGCCCACCTCTACGGATATCGCCCTTACGACAAGAACATTAACCCGCGGGAGAACATCCTGGTTTCACTGGGAGCTGTGGGTAAGTCAGCAGTCCACGGCCAGACCACATCTGGGGGTCTGCTGTTTGGGTATTAGGCTGGGAACCAGAAAAACCTGATTAACTTGTTTTATGACCACTTTCTATCTGTTTTTCCACCCTAGAACTAAGGGAAAATATATATTAGCAAACTCTTGAGAGCCAGGCAACAAGTCTTATATAGAAAGGAAAGGTCAAATATAACAATGCCTTTGACTCCAGGTTCTTGAACAGTTCCCAAATGTTATATATAATGAGCCTCTTTGGGTTTTCCTTTTTCCAGGGCTGGACTGTAGGGAATGTATAAATCGATATAAATAGAATAGGGCCCTCAGGGTGGCCAATATGCCTGGTGGTCTATATGTCATATCAAATGTAGAATTAATACTTGTAATTTAATTCAGTAAGCTTCTCTTTTATATATCTTTTTGCTATACTCAGATAGGCCATACGTTAAGTGTATGCCATGCCTGACTGCCTGGTGATGCCAATCAGAAGGGCATCAAAGCAACTGTTGGTGGCCCTTCCCCGCCACCTACCATTCTCGTCTCCCGTCCTTGATTTTTCTCTCTTCTGCTTTATTCTGTGCTAAGAATGGCTTAGGGAACCCCTGATAAAGCAGTTAGTTTAATCACAAGTGCCTGCTGGCTGATCTAATGCTTGCTATTCATGGAGTTATTTCTCTATAATTTGAGTTCTAATAGCCAGAGTTCTACTATCTGTCTCCAGTTGTTTTTTTCTGTCACTATTTTCAGCTAAATAGAGACCATCACTAAGGCCTGGAATTAGCCATCCTTAAGGAAACCCAGTGGCCTCTTGTTCCTCACCGTTGATCAGTACTATTGGTTACACAATATAACTAGGCACCCTCACTGTTCCGCGTGTTTATGCATATCCTGGCCTAAATTCACCCTTTTCTCTTTATAGTCTCAACCCTGACCATCTTCACTAGGTACTGTCTGTACTCAAATAGTATTCTTCCCCTCACTCTTTTTAACTTTCAGGCACCATCTACCATTGTGCATGTTTTTACTCTGAACCACGTTTGAAATAAATCACCTAGGCCCTATAAGTCTGAGATTTTCATAGAAATGGAAGCTTCTGGAATGAGATTTGTCCTGTACTGCAAATGGGTCTATAGTGAGCTTCCCTAACTGCAGCCTCTTTCTGACCATTAGTTCCAAGTGGCTCCCTTGTGCAAAAAAACAACCAAACAACCCCCACAAAAAAACAAAGTGGCTCCCAATATCTTATTTTGTCTCAGTTATTTATTTCTCCGTACCTGCTGCTCTCCTCCCTTATCATCTCCCCTTTTGTTCTCTAGCTCGCTTCCTGCCTTTCTAATCTTTTCTTCTTGAATTACCTCCCCCACAGTCACATGCTCATCTTCTCTCTGCCAAAGCTGACCTCCCTTGAGCCTTTCTTGGGCTGTATCTTGCTGCCCCAGTTGCAAAGTCTTGTCCTTCTTCTCCCTGTTGACTCTCCTTCTCTTCCCACCCCCACCCCCTCACTTGGTTATGTGTGTGTCTGATTCAGTTTTCAATCTGATAAGTATAGGCCTGGTTAGTGCTTTATATGGAGCCTGGTGCAAAGCCATTTATGGAAATGAGAAATCCTCTGTCAGTCCCTTTAGCCGTGGGATCATTCCATCCTCCTCCTCAGTTCACACTGTCACAGAGAGTCCATGTCACAGAGGACACACCTTGAGATGCCTTGGATGGTGTCATTTACTTTGCAGGACTTCCTCTACTTGCTCGTTATTAATATCATTATGGCTCTACTGAGGTTCATTTATCTTCAAAGGACTCGATATGCTCTTTTACTAGCTATTATTTACCTGGCTTTACCCCAGCCTCATAAGGGTCAGTATTGTTATTGTTGAATGTGGTTCAGAAAAAAGAGTTCTGCCAATGGTTGGAGAACTCTCTGTGGAGTTTCCAAAGTTTTATCCATTACAGAAATTACCCTGAATCCAGAATTTTGTTTTTCCTCCATCTCATCTCAGAAGTTAAAGGGAGTTTCTAAGCACTTTGCCTCTGACTCCCTCAGAGAGCTTCTGTTTTCTCTGCATCACCACCACACCAGGGTCAAAGCTCAAAGAATTCGAAGTCAGAGTCTACTAAGCTAGTAGTGGCCGAGAACACTCGAGCCCCTGGGCTGGGCCTCCTTTCTTCTGACTTTCGGCTGTTGCTGCCCAATTCTGTTGTTCTCTCACACGCTTGTAGGCAGTTCCCGTGCAGGTGTACTCCCTTGCTCACCTTTGTAAGAAACACAGCAAAAGTTCTTCATTCTAGACTCTCTCCTCTTCCCACCCTAACACACACACACACACACACACACACACACACACACACACACACACACACAGAGCCTTGAAGATCTCAGACCAGTATTTAGTGAAGCTCTGGGATTTTTCGTTCTAAAATCCATTTCCAGTGATAGTTTCTTTTTAGTCATCTTATCCTCTGAGAGAAACAGCCAGTCCTCGCACAATGGCTCCTAGAAAGCCATGGGTGACCAAGGTCTCCCTATTCGTTTCTTTCTTTTTTTTTTAAATCCTCACCAAGGATATTTCCCCATTGATTTGATTATATTTTTAAAAAATATATTTTATTGATTTTTTACAGAGAGGAAGGGAGAGGGATAGAGAGTTAGAAACATCGATGAGAGAGAAACATCGATCAGCTGCCTCCTGCACACTCCCCACTGGGTATGTGCCCACAACCAAGGTATATGCCCTTGACCGGAATCGAACCTGGGACCCTTGAGTCCGCAGGCCGACGCTCTATCCATTGAGCCAAACCGGTTAGGGCTCCCCATTGATTTTAGAGAGAGTGGAAGGGAGGGGAGGAGGAAGAGAGGTAGAGACAGAGAGAAACATCGATGTGAGAGAGACACATTGATTGGTTGCCTCCCGCTGCAGCAGGGAGATTGAACCTGCAATCCAGGTACATGCCCTTGACTGGGAATGGAACCTGAGACCCTTTGATGTGAGGATGGATGCTCTAACCACTGAGAAACACTGGCCAGGGCTCCCCATGTGTTTCTTAAGAAGCCTCTGAGTGGATCTATTTGGTTCAGAGTAGAAGAGACTAGTTTCATTCATTCATTCAACAACAGCAAGTATCTGCTAGGTTTCAGGTACTCTGCTAGGTAACTGATGTTCCAAGATCAGGAAGACAGCAATTCACCGTAGAGCGTCATAACTTTTTTCTTTGTTTTTTGTTTCAGGTGAGGGCTTCCACAACTACCATCACTCCTTTCCCTATGACTACTCCACCAGTGAGTACCGCTGGCACATCAACCTGACCACATTCTTCATCGATTGCATGGCTGCCCTCGGTCTGGCTTACGACCGGAAGAAAGTATCCAAGGCGGCCGTCTTGGCCAAGATTAAAAGAACTGGAGATGGAAGCTACAAGAGTGGCTGAGTTTGGGGTCCTCCGTTCTCCTTTCCAAAAGCCAGCCAGGCAGAGTTTTAATGTTCTTTTTATTAACTACTGAATAATGCTACCAGAATGCTAAAGATGATGAGGTTAACCCATTCCAGTATTCTTTTAAAATTCGAAAGTATTGAAAGCCAACAACTCTGCCTTCATGATGCTAAGCTGATACTCTTCTTTCTTCTCTTTTCTTCCCTGTCTTCTAGACCCATTGTCCTTTTCTTTGCTTTTTTCCTGTCACCTTCCTTTCTCTTCTCCCTCATTGCCTCCCAGACAAGCAGCTGGTGAGGCATTCATTGATGGGTGTCTAGCTTCTGAAGTCTAGACAACCTTTCTATCATCCAAAACTAGTGGTTTTGCCCCAGATAACTCTTTCCTTGAGATGTTCTGAGCTTCAAGGTAGGTGGCTCAAGCTAGAGATTTGACATCTTCTGGAAAGACCCCTATTAGTTATTTTCATTTCAGACTTTTGCTAGATGGAATGGAAAAACAACTTTATTTAGCACAAAGCTTCTAAAGCAGGTAAATTGTCAGGGGAGAGAGTTAGCATGCATGGTACGTAAGGTGGGAAACAAAGCAAGAAGAAGCTCCTGATGTGACCAGACATACAGCTGCCTGCCTACTGCGGACATTGAGCCCCACCACCCAGCATGCTTCCTTTCTCTCCTGACTATGAGTAGGGAATGGCCATGGAGCTTGGCAATGCGAGACCACAGAAGCAAATCTTAGGTCCCAGTAGACTCTAGGCTAGAGATAAAGAAGAAGCATTTAGTTTGTAATACAAATGATCTTCAATGGAGTTCTTTTTCCTTTAATAACAGGAAAATTTCTTATTTCGTATATCAGAAAGTCTTGAGGTTGGTTGTTTCCAGAATTGATGAATCCAGCAACTCATGGAATTATCAAAATTCTTTCATCTTTCTGCTTTGCCATCTGACCGTTGGGATATTGGTCAGCTCTACTCAGTAACAAAGTAGCTGCAGCATTTCCAGACATCCAAAAAAGGAATGTATTGGTGGTATAATGGTGAGCATTCCAAAAAAGGAAGGATTTTAGGAGGTAGGTCAAACAGATACATATATATATATGTATATATATATACAGATATACTTTGCTTAGAATATTAAATAATTCACTCAGAGTATTTCCCTCTGAAAGAGGGATGCTTGAAGAAGAGGACAGGGGATGGAGAGGCTGAAGAACAGGGTCTGTGGCAGTTCCTGAGAGATTATTTTACAGAAGAAGGACTTTGAGAATGCATTGTCTGGGGATTTGGATTCAGAAGCTTACTAAGTAAATTCCTGGGTGTCATAATAGGAAAGCTGGTTATCCAAACAAGTTAGTTGTTAGGTTCATTCATTGACTCCCATTTCTCCTTGGAATAAATAAAAACTAGAAGGCTTTTCGCCATAGTGTCAGACTATTTCACTCATTTCTTCTGGTAACAGGTAGCCCAGTGATTTTCAATCTTTTTCATCTCATGGCACACATAAACTAATGACTAAAATTCTGCAGCACACCAAAAAATATTTTTTGCCAATCTAACGACAAAAAAAAAAGGTATATTTTTGAGTGATTCACACCAGACGGCTACTGTTGTGTTGGCTGTTGTCATTTTTTTATTTGACAATCTAAGGAAAAAGAGGTCAGTGCTCCTGACTACATAGGCAGGTGTTGCATGTTTTAAAAATGCTTGTGGCACAACGGTTGAAAATCGCTGATCTAGCCTAAAGGATAGGACTGCCTGGGGGCAAGTAGAAGTCTTCACCCTGATTATCGGTTCCTGGCTCTACCCAATCTGTCCATTTCTCCTACCGGTTCTGTCTCTCCCCTGATGTTTTCTTTTTTCTCTGGACAGGCAGCCGCCTTTGTGTATTCAGAGGCAGTGATGGCTATTGCTGTCCAGGCAGACAGAATGCTCAGGGTCACTGAACCACTGTTTCTCTTTATAAGGTTGCCCTCGCTGCCACTCTCACCTGGCCTCCAGAGTCTCTCCACCCACAGCCCTGTTGTCCCCTGCCACACTGATGACTCAAGACAAGGCTGGCAAACCCTCCCAGCAACATCCCTGGCGCAGGCGCTCTCTCATGAGGCACAGCCAGGGCGAATGCTTGCATCATGCCAGTGAGCCAGCCCCGGAGCAAAAGAGAGTTTGTTTTCGGTCTCCTCTGTCTGGGTCAGAACCAGAGAACATACTGGACGCCCCCTGCTTGCTTATTTACCCTGCCCAGCTTTAGTCCGTGCTCCCAGCTGACTGCAGCGCTGGTAGAAGTAGGAGGGAGCCTGGTCTTCACTGGGAAGCACAAGAAACAAAGGCAAGTTCCAAAGTGCCTCACTTGAAAGAAGGCCCTGTTCACTCCCCGGAGCCAGGGTACATTGCAAAGCTTTGGCTGGGACTCGGGATCTGAGATGCCATGAACTTTGCTGAACAGCGTCTCTGTTCAGCAAACTAACCAGCGTTCCCCACAACACAGCCTAGGGTAGACAATAGTGTAGAAGAGGTCTGGAAAAAGTAAAAAAAATCAGTGTTTTGAGAACCTTGGACCACTCCTGTCCCTGTACCTCAGTTTGTCAACGCAGAAGCCTGGCTTTTCTCTGTCAAGGTTGGAAATGTATGATACCAGATGCTCAGTGCGCTGTTGAAACCGAATGGTGGAAGGGAGGAGGGCCTTTCCTTTTGTATTTACTGAGTAGAGAGAGGCTACAGGGGTAAGCCTGGTCTAAAGGCATCTTTGTCTTTTGAGCTGTTCCTCTCAGTAGAAAAGAATCTCGTGGAAGATCACTGTAGTTTCGATCTGCTGACCTGTGCACCTACCCCTGGGAAATGTCTATTGGATAGTTTTAACTCCACAGGTCACCAGATGCCTGCTTTATAATTTATGATCAAAAACAACTTTATCTTTCTATTCTAATCATGTTCCATGGATCTGATCCCACACCATGACCCTACCTGCACAAGGCTGACCGGGGTCCTCAGGCTGAGGACCCTGGTGTATGTGTGGGTGTGTGGGGGGGGCAGGGTGGGGGGGAGTCTCTGCTGAATAAGGAACACTTCTCAAGACTCTAAAGCTGAATTCAAATAATGCATTAATGATCCAGAAACCCGGATCTGATCACATGTGAATTTCTAACAGTCCTTGCTTTGTGGGTGTGCTGACAACTTATTTGGGTGCCTTACATGTTTTCTAATCAGTGTTGCATATGAGCCTGCTCTCACTCCCTCCGTGCTCCTCTGTGGAGTTCCTTTGCACCCGAGAGCCTGCAGAAGTGGCTGGTGGAAAGGGGGGCCTGGCCGGAGAATTAGCTGTTTGCAGGATTCCCTCCTGGGCTGCATTTTGGAAACTTTTCTTAGGTCTGTGTTTCTTAAGTGCCCACATTTGATGGAGGGTGGAAGTAATTTGAATGTATTTGATTTTTTTTATTTTTTTTTTAGATTAAAAGATGCTTGTAGCATTTAAAATGGAAACTTTTTCTCCTTGGTTTTCTAGTATCCTGAGTGTATTCTCTGTAAGTATAGCTCAAATGGGTCAGCATGAAAGGTTAAAGAAAGCAAGATATCAACGTTACCCAGGTGGTTAAGGCCAAGGCCTCTCCTTACCACTGTGCCACTGACTTGCTATGTGACCCTGGGCAAGTCACTTAATAATAATGTGCCTCAGTTTTCCTTCTGTTAAAATGGGGGTAATAATACTGACCTACCTCAAAGGGCAGTTTTGAGGTGTGACTAATGCTTTGTATAAAGCATTTTGGGACCCTTCAGCAGAGAAATTCTCTTTAAGTCCTGAGTATTTTTATAGTAGCAGTATCCACCATGAACTTGTGTCCACCATAAACCATGTGTCCCAGATGCTATCATTAATCTATATGGTTTTCTCTGAGAAATTGAATAAATCCATTGGATAAGTGGTAGATAACTAGCCAGACAAAATTTGAGAATGCATAAACTCATTGTCATGGAAACACACGGGATACCTGTTCCTTGATTGGGTGGGATTTTTTTCCTTTTTTTTTTTTTTTTAAATGTGGGATAGTAGTTATTTGTGACCTAAGAATAATTTTGAAATAATTTCTATTAATAACTCTGAAGTTAGTTGTATTATCTAACATTGTGTTTGTTCATAATAAAAATTTCACGAATCTGATTGCACTGTGTCTGGGAGTTTTTTGGGTGTGATTCAAAGTCTCCTGGGACTTATCTCTATGGTCCACCATCCTGTTCCTGTACCTTTAAGAGTAATACAGAAGTAAAAGCTACAATGACTGACTCATACCCCAGTGACCCGCCCTGTCTTTCCTAAGGGTAACTTTAGGTTAAATTCAGTCTTGGCAGCAGGAAACCAGGAATCTGCTGCCATTAAAGAACCACATTAATACCAGCTGACACTTTAGCCCCGGCATTTGGGCCTAGCCAGGTCTCTTGTGTGTCACATGGTCACATGGACCCAAGAGGAAGTTAGCTGCAGGGAAAACACTCTGGAAAAGCAGGTTTTTATCAGGCAGCCTAGGTGTCCAGGTCATTCCTCCAAAATGTGGTCAGCCCTGGAGTAAAGTGGCTCCTGGAAGTGCTGATTGACAACAGCAGGAAGAAAGGACAAACACACGGTGGGAAAGGCTTTAACTTTTACTACTTTATCTGAGAATCCTCAGGCAGAAAAGAGAAGGCTGACTTTTTACAAGTGGAAGAAGCCCTATCCTCCAACAGGAGCCAATACTTAGGCTTCTAAGAGTTTCCTAGAACCAACTCCTCCTCCTTTCTAATGTAAGGTTGCAAGATTCTCTCAGGTTAATTCAACGCATCCAAAATCAAATCTGTATTCATTGAGGTCTTGCCAGGCCTTAAGTCGATGGTGGCATTTTCTTCATCAATATCTGGCGTCCCACCCCTTTCCCTGTTTTGCTTAAAATGTTCAGGTTGGACTTTTTTTTTTTTTTCCAGTTCTATAATTGCGCTGTTCCTTCCAAGTGTTTTTACTTCCCATTAACCTGCATCCAAGTTAAAATAATTTATCCTCACGAAGCTCTGCTACTTTTCATTTCCTCCTGTTTTATACCTGGCTGTCCTCCCTCTGGTTAAACAGACTGCTACGCTTTCTTCAGACATTCTGTATCTCATGTTTGTTATTTCACCCTGGAGCTGTCTTTGTATCCCTATATGCAAAAGTTCCAAGAAAGAAGAAAAGGGAAGAATTCTTAAAACTTGATTAATATGTTCAGTTGAGTTCAAGATTGAGAGGGAAAGAGAAATGAGTATGAGTTTACCTTTAAGGGTGAATTGTAAAATAGCACGTGGGGGCAAAGTAGTGAATTCTTGTTTTTGACATGTTCTGTATGGGTATATGAAGAGGTTAAGGCTCTATTTAATAATCAAGATTTAATCATGGGACAAAGAACAAAAATAATGTAAGAAAATAATGGGGAAGAGCACAGGAATCGAATTTCTGATGCCCAATGGCCACCAGTTTTTCCTAGAGGAAAAATCAAGATAGTTCCTAAAAAAAAACTGCCAGGGCATGAAAAGACATAAAAGACATCCAGATTGAAAAGGAAGAAGTAAAACGATGACTGTATGCAGAAGACATGATTTTGTATATTAAAAAACCCTAGAGAATCCTCACAAAAAAAACTATTGGAACTAACTATTAAACTATTAGAACAAGTTCAATAAAGTTGCAGGGTACAAGATCAATATACAAAAATCAATTGTATTTATATGAACTAAAAACAAATACTATGCAAATAAAGTTAAAAGAATTCCATTTATAGCATCAAAAAGAATAGGTGGATAGAAATAAATCTAATAAAAGAAGTACATAAGAATGGTATATTGAATATTTATAGCATCATTCTTGGGCCACACTAAATTATCAACTTAAAAATTAGCCTGCTATATTTGGTCAAACATTTAATTAACTCACCCCTAATGTCTTGGCAGGGCCGGACCAAATGATTTCGAAGCCTTATATGCCCTGCGGGCCGGAGGTTCCCCACCCCTGCTTTAAAGGGTAATTTTATGGGATATGAAATATATCTCAATAAAAAGTGTTATAATGTAGCCCGCGAATCACAGAAGGACGCCTCAAGAAGTCGAATTAAAGAGTCACATTTATTGCAATCAGGGACTATGAGGGGCCATTTTGCTTTCCCAAATCTCATAGTGATAAGATGGTGGCAAAGCCAGACTTATATAGGCAAAGATCACAAAGGTATTGATTACATCTCAAGGTTTGGAATGAGGAACGTGGTTTGCATAAAAGCAGTTTACAGAAGCAGAAGCAGCATGTTAATTATAGTTTTGGGTCTCGGGGTCACTGAATTGACAGAAACACATTATCTAGAGCCCTGGGGTCTGGAATGAGGAACCTGGGTTAAACTTAGGCATGTTATCTAAATTACAGTTTTGGGTCTCTGGAACA